GATAATTACTTCCTAAATTGTTTTGGGATCTTAAATTGATTTTTATATTTACGGGTCTTCTTTATGCCTCAAAAGAAAGATTCAGAATTTAGATAGGACTTAACAGAAAAGATACCATAGAACATTATTTAAGTCTTTTATCCTTGAGGTTTCCCAGAAGCATACAACTGGGATCCATTGAGGGAATTGGTCAGTGAGGCATGCTGCCTTGCCTACAGCTATTACCAGTATGGGGTGCTATGAAAGTATAGAAGAACTTAGCAGCTATTGCCTCCACAGAGAGCCAGTGTGCTTTTAGTTTTGTTTGTTTGTTTTTTTAAAGCATCTGAACATGCCTTAATTATTGAAATTTATTGCGGAGACTTGAGATATTAAAAACTGAAAATGGATGAACAGCAATAGTAATTGTTGCCTCTCTGGAGGAAAGTGAGATGCAAGCAGCTGTGAAAGGATTGTGAAACGCTGTAACAATATAAAAAGGATTTGAAATGAAATATTATAGTAGGATGTGCTTATGGGCTCTCTGATGTTTTGGTGTGTGCTTTTTTGGTTGAGCAGAAACTTCAGTTTGTGTAATTTTGCCTCTATGTTCAAGGCTTTCTTTAAAAACAAACAAACAAACACACCCACAAAAAACCGCATTGAAATACTGGAGGAAGAGAAAGAAGAAAGATTCAGATGCCGGGACACTCCTACAAACAGCAGAGTAGAATGGGCACTCCTTTTAAAACAACGAAAGGATGAGAAAAGAAGAATTTAGCAGTGTGTTGTGTGCAAAGTTCTGTTTATTCAGCATTCCCACATATTTCTGATTACTTACTGGAAGCAGAAAAAACATCTAAAATAATGAAGATCACAAGGAAGTGTGTGTAAAGCAGCAGCGTGGTTGAATCTATTTTAACAAAAGCTTTGGAGCTGTGTAAATTTGCTTTTTAGTAGTTACGGTGATGCTAACACTTGAAGTAATTCCAGTACTCTCTAAAATACTTAATGGTGGGGCATTGCATGGCAGGGAATCTCTCTGAATCATCTCAGTCAAGCTTAAAATAATAACTGCCTTCTAAATGAATTGGGAACTGAGACTGAAATGTTAATTGTGACTTCAGGCTATGGTGTCCTTTCCAGTGTCTAAATCACCAGTGCCTGAAAGTGAAGCCTCAGGTGTATTTGAAGCTTCTATAATAATACAAATAAGCTCATCTGAACTGGTCTTGGTCATCTTTTGCAGACAATTAAAGGGTTTTATGCTGATTAAGATTTATTTTTCTTGATTTAAAAAAAAACCCAACAAACTACTTGATGGCAGTTAAGTTTTTACAGTTTATCTTGCTGTAAGCCTGACTAGGATTGGCATGTATTTTTTCATTAATATTTTACTATCACATTAGGAAAATATAGCACAACGTATATGCTTCATCCCATAAAGTGCTCATTCCGAGGCAAACTAACGATCCCTTCATTTTATGTGTCAAATAAAAAAGCCCCACATCTATATTTAGGTAACTTGCTCACAAGATAAGGCAAGATATTCTTACTCAGTGGGCAGCGCACTGAGTTGGCAGTGATGGTGTTTCACATGACTGATAATGCAGAAGTTTCTCTTGGTAGCACTGTGGGTAGGACAAATCATGATGAAGAGGGAACAAGATATGGATAGTTTGCAGTATCCCCGAAATACCTGTCAGAAGGGCTGCTTAAAAATAACCACTACTGCATGCTTGTGGTACTTTGCAAAAGAGGAATTGATATGTGGTAGAAAAGATTCTGTTTCGTTAAACATGTACTACTTTCCAAACTCATTTAAAAGCTACAAGGGATTTCACTTCATCCAGAGAGAACTTGAGGAGAACTATATGTACACTTATGTTATAGATGACTTCAGAAGTAAAAATACAGAAAGAGTAATTGGTAAATTACCACCTGCTTTCTCTTTCAGCAGAAAAGCCATGGTATTTATGAAGAAAGGTTAAGATGTAAGGTACAAGGTAGAGTCATGTGTTCTCCAGTACATGGCTGATAAAGGCAGATTAACGTTGTGACTTTGTCACCATCTTCTCTGGAGAAGAGGACACAGCTGCAGATACCACCAGGAGTGCATCTACCCATGGCTACACTGTTGCATCCTATCCTTGAACTGTTTGATTCTGAAAAATGGCTGGGTGTGAACTGACTCTTGATCATTAATCATCCACTGTGGTTTTTCTTTAAAAACAAACAAACAAAAAACCCAAACCAAACAAACAAAACCCACAAAGAAGAAAAGTCATTTTAAAACCACAAAAAAAATCCCAACCTCAAAATGTATCAGGTAGAAGAACCCGAGGGCTGAGCTAGGCTGTGAGCTGAGCAAATACAGCATAAATAAAGGATTACTCTGAGGTGCTTTAGTGGGACAGATACTGTAGGCAAGATTTGGTTGATGGTTCTGTCAGTTCTCATAGTTTCCTTTACATGAATAGTAGGTGCATATGCACCACAAAGGCACGAAAAGGAGCTTACTGCTTAAATGCTGTTGTGATTCACAGGAAGAAAAAATGTATACAGTGAGTGGCTGTCATTTGTGGACACTTACTAAACATCCTCAATCATCAGTAGTAGTTAATTCTTAAAAAATTTAGCAGTTATTTTACTGAAGCTTTCTATTAGATAAGCTGATTAATCCTTCACTTAGGAAATTCTTCACCTAACACAGGCCAGCTAGTTTGATCTTCATCCTTCAGTGGTCATGGGGTTATGTTTGCACAAGCAGAATACAGAAGTATGCTTGTTTCTGACTTCCAAAAGGGCAAGTTTTCTAAAACTTTAAGTGTTGGCACAGTTGCCCTGAAAAGTTTAAATGGAAAATGATAGCAAAATCTGAGCGTGAGCATACTGTCGAATATGCTTAGGCAAAAGTACTGTGATTTCACAACTGTGAAAATAATGCTTTCTTGATAAGAAGGAACCTTAAAGAAAATCAAAGCAGCAATTAAAGCAAATATTAGGGATATGAAAAGGGACAATAAAATGTCCATTAGCCAAAGTAAAATTTAATGAATAAGGGACTAAATAGTGAATTCCAGTGTGGTTAGAGATAACACATTTGCCGATATCCCAGAGCAAATGTTAATTCGGTGACAGATGTGAATGGTAAAATTGTGAGTAATATAGTAAATGAAGGAATAGTAGTAGTTATTTCTATGGCAGGTTTTCACTAAAGCAGGGAGATACATCTTCCTCATATAATGCTGCAGATGTAATAAAGATGTTTGCCATCTCTAAGATAAAAGGCTATGAGATGGCATCTGCTAAAATAAACATTCTCAGGCCAACAGGTCATTTGACTGTGAATTAGGTAGACAGACAAGGAGTTTTCTGAGTTGCTGGAGTTAACAAGTAACTGCAGAAGTCTTGGTGTCCTGCTAGTGCGGTTCCAGGGAAAGCTCCAGTGAAAAGTTGTTTTTTTGCCTTCCTGAAGCTCTGTGGGAGCTGCCCTGATGTACTCCATGCACTGTTGCCATCAGTGCTCATCTCTGGTGGCTGCTCTTTTTCTGTGTGAAGTTGATAATTTCCAAAGTGAAATAAATGGATGTCTCTGCACCCTGGGTGCTGCAGTCTTGGCTCGGGATCTCGTTTGAACTCGGTGATGAGCTTGCAATCTCCTTCCTCTCCCCACCCCATTCAGTTCTGGGAGACAGCAACTGCTTGGGTGTTTCCTGAGTCCTTCCTGTGTTGTCTTAATAGAACCAGGCTATTTTAATCTTTTCTATGTCTTCATGGCTGACCAAAGTTTGTCTGCAGGCCAACTTAGCTTGTCTTCTCTAAATAGATTTCTGTTTGTGAGCAGCATTTGTGTGTTGTTTTGTTGTGGTTGAGGGGTTTGTTTTGTTTTTAACTCTGCCTGGAGCACTGAATAATTAAATCAACACCTTGCTGTGGCTACCAGAGCATCCTCACACAGCTGTTATTGGGGACAAGGGTTTCTGGATTTGCTTTTTGTTTTGTAGAGTAGCTCATCACTTTTAGCTTATATCACAGTAAGCCTGTGGCATCCCAGCATCTTTTTGCAGGCCTTGAACACAGATTATGTGAATTTTATCACAGTTTTAGTGTAATTGGCAATTATCAGATATTTTTAAGGATTAAAAGCAGGAGCCCAGGGATTTGCTGTGTTTCTATGTAGCTCTACCAAAACTTCAGGCTCTATTTCCTCTAGTGTCTGTTTTCTTCTTTATCTTTCCCTACCTTTTAAAAAAAAAAATTCTTCTAGAATAGCATTTCTTAAATCTCTACTGAAGTTGTCAAGTCTAGTTAGAGGAGGCTAGTTGTGTTGCCTGTCTCATGCAATTTCTGTGTTGCAAATAAGGCTGAAGCTGATGAAAAGAGGCCTCTATAATCATTGTACAGCAGCAGAGCAAGGTTACATTTTATAGCTTTGACAGCTACCTGGAAGGTGTCTGTCTCTGGGGGATGGGAGTTTTTAATCACGAAAGATCCTGCTTGCTTGTTTTTAAGAAGAATTATTGGACAGAAAGGTTGTAATATTGCCATTCCTGATGCAGTTGTTTAGCATATACATTGAGAAACAACCCTGTATATAGACATGCATCTAAAATTTCAAACACAAAGCCCCAGTCTGAGTACTGTATCTGGAACAAGTCCTGTCTTTCTCCTTCTGGCACACCATACAAATGTTGCACTATAGCTGCATATAGCAATAAGGAAGTGGACTTATCAAAGTTTGCTGACAGGCAAACTCTGATGGACAATAACGTAAATGCTCCAAAGGTACTGTGGCTTTTGCTCGCTGTCAGCAAGCGTTGTATCAATACCAGCATAGATCAAACATTGCAGAGTTATGAGTCCACTGTGGAAAAGCCTACTACTGCCATCATCTTCAGATGAGCCGCTACTGCTTTCAGTGTTTCTGATACCAAGTAGACCATTTATTGGGTAGAACAGAAAGCTCTTTACATAAATAAGGTATAGTATGTTTATTGACTATACGTATTTTAATTTAGGTCTTTAGAAGAACACCATGATCATTCTAATGCGGTAATCGGAGATCTTCAATCAGATGAAGAAGATATCATGAACAGTTCTGATGAAGATGATGACACAAATTCTGATTCCAGCAAAGGGGAGCCTGATCCTCACGAAGATAAACAGGTTTCTTTTTATCTTTATCTTTATTCCTCACTCTTGCACTATTTTTTAAGTTGTATCCTGTCAGGATATTTTCAAATAAAAATAATTGAGTCAACATAACTTTATATACTTCTTTTTTGTCATTCTTATTATGTAGGTTTTTTCCTAAAATTTTAATTTAATATGTGTTTGTTAGCCTGATTTTTAGAGGTCAAGTGTAGAAATAACCTGTTAGAAAGTGTGTGTTACCTCGTGCATTTGTTCTTAATCTTTCACTGAGTTGTAGAGCTGTAGACCTGCCTACCATGCCCCTCTGTTAGAGCTGCATCCACAGATACATGTTTAGAGATCTTCAGTTTTGAGACTGGTAGATACCTTTTAATTAGGCTCTCTATGCCTCACAGATCCTATAGTGCACAATGATCTTGTGCACTTGAACATGTAAAATCAACCTTTAATTTGTCAGCCTTGTGAAGTCCAAGGAGAGGAGCCAGGGGAAGGTTGCAAGGTCTGAGAAGGTCCTTCTGAAAAATACCTTGGAAGCTGTAGTTTTGCCTGAATGGTCCTATTTTGAGGGTCTTTGCCATGCAGCAAAGGCTGTATCCCAGTAACCATTTCAGAGCAGGCAGCTTTCTTGTGTTTGCAGGTTCTGTTTACTGGCCTGCCAAATCACTGCTTGGAGCACAGGGGACAGATATCTGAACCAGGTTTTAATTATTCCTTTTCAATGGCATGAAACACAAAGGCCTCAACCTCCGTTTCAGCATTTAAGTTCCTTAATTCACTCTTTTCGTGCTGAGGAGAGTCTGTTGGTGTGTGTGAGAGCTGTCACAGGGTTGCAGAGCTACCCCTATGTCTCTTGGAGGAGTTTAATCCAAATGTGACTGTTGTGGTTGAGGACTGACCTTCTGCTAGCTTCTGCAAGTGCCAGCTTGGAATAATTTCCCCTGTTTTAATCTTCTTTCTTCTTCAGATGAAGAGTAGGAAGACAGCACTAACTGCTTAACATGAAATGAAGTGCTGGGGTCTTATCCCTTTCCTTGGGGCTGCCCTTTTTCTTACTTCCCATTCCTGGATGCCCTGACACCAGCCTGCGCACAGACAAGTGCTTCTCCTCAGCACCAGTCCTGGCAGCTCTGTTTGCTTTGATAGTACTTGTATTTGCTTCCTTTCCTTAAAAATGAATAATAATTTAAAATAAAAAAAAGAAGATGGATGATGTGTCCAACTTGAATGTTATTTAACCAAATCTTCTGAGAGGAACAAACTGGGGGAGGCACAGGGAGTTAAGAGAAAAGCCTGTTCCTATGACAAGACTGTACCCGTACAGAAGCTAACTTACCTTGAGTGCCTCTAGGAATGCCCTGAGCCTTTCACAACAGAGTTTTACAGGGAAGTGTCCCTGTTAGGAGACTTCTTGGGCAGGTTACACGGTGCCATTCAGCGCTTGCTGTGAAGCATCTGCTCATCGGCCTGCTTGGGCTGCCTGCGGCACGTGCGGCCGGCAGCTGGGGATTAACAACCAACTTCCTAAAAGGGAGAGCAGCTGCAAGGGAGAATGAAGCAGTCTCTGCATCAGTCATCGGCTGGGCTTGTTTTTATTTGTCCTTACCACAAGCATCTGGCTGTTTTGATGCTTTTAATCTGTTGGAGGAGTTACAGGGTTCCTTCTCAATGCCGATTTGTATCCCTTTGGCTCTCCCATTAGGACTCTCTTTGGCTCCGCAAATGCAAAGTGGCCATTTCAGTGCCAGCTGGTATGTGAAAAGTCTTTCAAATGGGCTTGAAAACAGACTGTGATATTTCGTTTTGTAGTTGTTTAGCGGTAGCATCTTGTTCTCAAAATACTAATTTTCATCTCATTTGCAACTGTCACATCTACAGTGATGGCAGATACCTTGCTCCACATAATTGAGTTACTTGTGAATTCAGTCTTGTGGGGAGTGTGTCAGCTGTGCTTTCTGAAAAGCCACGGAGGCCTGAGGATGGGTGTTACACTCTCGTCTGAATCTGATTGACCCTTATTGCATAGATCTAAGTGGTTTTTGGAAATAAGTTTAATTTTAGAAGTCAAATCCCAGCTCTGTGTGAAGATGTCTATGTAGTATACAAAATAACTAATGTATTTTGCATATATGTGAGGCAACACCAAATTATTAAATTATAAAATATTTTTAATTTAATAATTTGGCAATGTGTCAATTAAATTCAAATTTTGAAAATAATTTGGATTTCTTTATTTTTAATATAACAATATAATTAAACCAACCACTGAACATCATTGGTTCCATGATTTGATTTCCAGCACTTGAGATCTGTTTATAGGTTCAGAGAAGAACTAAAACTCCAGACAAATCTTTGCAACATTAGTGCTTATGAACCAAAGGTTCATATCTCCAATGCCTCCGGTGTCTGCTTTTCTAGATAAACTGTTCAATGCCTGTGTTATACAACCATACTCAGTACAGCCTCCCCAGGACTTCAGTCGTGCTTGTGTTGTATATTCTATGATGTTGCAGTGCTCCTCATGCAGGATTTTCTTTGCAGCCCATTGACATGAAAGCCTGAATATCAAATAGATATGGTGACAGCTGGCAGCAGAGCATTTGGCAAACCATGAGAGCTTTTATGAGAAAGGTGTTAGTTATCTGAGGGAAATTGTACATGGGAGTTACACTGTGTAGAAAACACATTTGCATTCGGACGCTGACCCCCTTTTGCTTTGTTATACCTGTTCCTGCTATCTGATGTTGAAGAGTAGCATTGATTTTTTTTTGGAAGCCAAACGGGTGTGGATAAAAACCAATATAATCTCCAGAGTGCCTCAGGTAGATGATGAGGCTCACACTTCTACATCTTTGCAGAATGGTTGCTATGTATCCCACCAGCTCCTTTAGTAGATTGTCAGAAGCTGACTTTTCTCTTCAGTGTGATTTTTTTTTTCTTCTTTCATCTTTTTTCAGTTAAGAAAATGTGTATTTCCTTTAAGATGTTCCTGAAACCCATTTGAGTTTACTGCAAATATTACTGTTGCTATATTAATCAGGAAAAAAAAAATCAAATAATATAGAAATATTAGCTATACTGCTTTTACTAAACAATAATTGTCACTTGCTAGGGCTTCATTCATTATGGGCTTCAGTGCTTCCTGTAATAATTAAATAGGCTGATAGTGTTATAAAAGCTACTCTTAGTTAATATTGTTGTTTCCAGCTACAAGCTAAATTGATTTTCTCACAGATCCTGAAAAGTCAGAAGATTTCAAAGCCAAGAGATTTTAAAGCAGTATAAAACATCTTTATTAGAAATAGCTATTGAATAATTACATCAGCTTTGACAAACTAGTAGCCAAAAATGTCCTTTACCACAGTTTTAGTAGGTGCATAGTATAACATATAATTTTATTTGCAGAGTAAGGCAGCTGGAAAGAAAACAAAGGTTTACCATATTGCCAAGGAGATCATGAGCTCAGAGAAAGTGTAAGTGTCAATGCTAAACTTAACAGCTACTCAGTTTATTTTAGTCGAGCAATTAAAATATAACTATTTGCTTTTTCTTGCTTTTCTGATAGGTTTGTGGATGTGCTAAAGCTCCTACACATTGTAAGTACCCTTCAAAAAAAGAAGTTTCCTCTTCCATTTGTTTAATCTGTTGAAGTTTTATGTTTACACTTTATTGTAGTGAATGTGACTTTTTTTTCTGCTGTATCTACATATTCAAAATATAAAAATTAATCTAATTAAACAAGCTTTGAAGTTTCAGGTTTTATATAATGGATTAAAATTTTGGTGGCTTCTTCTGGAGCTCCATAATTAATGTATGAAGTCTTCCAGCTGAGTGGGGGTATTGCTTGAATATTAAAAATGGAATATATATCCATTTATGTTAATCAGCATCGTATTTATAAGGCAGCTTGTACCATAGCAACCCAAATAAAATCTTTGGTTAGAATAACTTTTAAAGTAGTGGGGCAGGCAGGAACAATTTGCCTTTAGAAATGGTACATAAGAATACACATTCTTTAGGTAATCTAACTAATTAGCTCTAATGGTACATCCATCACCATGGTAGCATATTTTGTTAGACTGCAATTCATTGACAGATGCTTGCTTTCTGATAACACCTGTGATTGTAGTAAGTGCAATGTGTTGTCCACAGGAAGGGTTAAGTATTTAATCCTTGCTTATGCAGACCAGTCATCTGTTAAACATGCTGTGTTGAAGGTGATAATAGTAAATTAATGAAGAATTTAGCTTTTTTTAGCTCCATTTTATGTGTTTTATGTCGACTTCTAAGTGATATGTATTTGTACCATTTTGTCACTCGATTTAGTGCAAGCGCTGTGATTTTTTTTTTTCTTGGGCAATAGAAGTGGTTATATTGCAAACAGATGCGTTGGTCTATCTCGGTCTCTTGAGAAGCATTTCTGTGAAGCTGGGAACAAAGGCTCTTATAGATGGATGTATACAGTCCTGTAATACGGAGCTCTTTCAGGAAACAAAAAACTTACCACACCACTTGCTGATTCCCCTTTTGCCTTCCATTTTAGTAATTGATTTTCTTGTTCTCTTCAAGCTTGGTTTTTAAAAGCTGTGTCAGGCAGTTGCAGCCGATGTATGATTTATTTTCAATGTGGTTTCTAGTACAGAACTCAAGCTTCAATAATGGTTAAAGGAAGAGAATTGTCCTAATGAGCATAGACAAGTTTTAAGCTATTTGATTTTTAATCATAATATTTTTCAGGCATATAACTTGTCTTAAAGGTGGTTTTGCTTTTCAGTGTACCAGTTCTTCAGGTAACATAGGCAGTACAGCAGGAAAAGGCCATTGGTGGGGAGGATGCAGGCAAGTGGAGGAAGAATGTGGGAAAGGGAAAATGGTAGGGAGTTTAAGAAGTTTCTGGGATAAACTTAAGGTTGTCCGCACAATGTAAATGTGCAATGCTGTAGTATGCATTTTGCTTTGGTTTAATGGATAACTCGCAGCTTTATTTACGACAGTATGGCTAGCAATATCAATCAACATGTATTCAGCCTGATCTAACAGAGAGGATGCTAGGCTCGGAGTCGAGGAAATACTTTGTCCTTAACTTGAGGCTCTGGTGTGTGTGCATTCTTCATTAAATAAAAATTGCCATAACTGATAAAGGTTGCAGAAACACGTTTTTTTAATTTCCACAGAGTGGCATGCCTGAGGATTTGCATATGTTCATCACAGAGATAATTAAATCTGTTTATTTAGTTATATATTTATTACAGGTAATATTTAAACGTTGATAAAATGATCCTTTTGATTTCACATGCACTGAACCACTTTGCCCTGCTAGCTTCAGTGCCAGGATTGCCAACTGCCAGTCAAGGAACTTCTGACTGATTCCAGGAATTAAAACTTAAGTTCTCCCCAGGCTGTGCTGTTTCACCCATAGTAAAGTTTTGGCTGATGAGGCTCTATTACACCTTCTGAACCCTCTATTAGTGGTTTTCCAAAGAAACTTAGTGACTAATTCCATTAGTGATGATCTGAAATTAATAGTACTCTTCTCAGTCTGTCTTACCAATGCTGATTAATGCAGCTCATGGCTTTTACTGCAGCCAGGGAACTGGCCTCTTGATGTCAGAAAAAGGTTTTTAAGTTGCTACGGCTTAAAGCATTTGAAGTGGAGTCTAAAGCAGCTGAGGAGGTGGGAACATGGTTGCAAATAAGTAGCGCTGAATATTTTTTTAGCATTTTTTCCTTTCATATTGACAAAGTCAAGTTAGGTGGAGCAACTCTTCCAAGATATCAGGGTGCTTGCCTATTTGGACACTTGCACTTTTTAAGTATGCATGGCTGCTTCTGTTGAAGACAGGCTACAAAAATTCTCTAGAAAATAATAAGCACTTGGGGATACTTCTATAATATGAAATAAGCTGGTTATAACAGAGATAAGGCTCTTAACTCCTGTGTGCACTGGTGCGTTCTCAAACATACTCAGTGAACTTGCTTGAGGGAGGAATCAAACATTAGATGTAATCTTGAATTCTCTGTATTTCTGTTAACTGTTGTAATGCTCTTTTAGAGGTCAAGATTCCAGCAAAATGCTTATAGAAACTCCTGAAAACAAAAAGGCTTAATTCAAACCAGCTCATCTGTATATATCTTTTTGAGATGGTTCGTGTATGGCTTCCAGAGGGTAAACAAGGGTTGAGAAGATGCAAGAAGTGTTCTTTCCTTTCCTAAGGGCACTTGCCAGAAAACAAGGAAGCACAAACTGAATATAAAACATAAGTGGTGTAAGAGAAATGAGTAGGCTTGTCACTGCTGTCTGAGATGCTCTGTGCCCAAAAAACACCTGGTGTTCCTGGAAGAGGAGGAAGGCAGGATTGTGGCATTTGTACTGCTACACTGTGGCATTCTTTGGACATTATTTGCTTTGGCCTAGTGAGAGTACCTCCTCAGCAGCACCCTGTTGCTGTAAGGGCAAGATGCCTGGTTTATTTGCTGTCATTTCTTTTGTCCTTTTTTTGTTCCTAATTTTGGTCTTTTGCCAAAACTCACCACTTTCTGTTCTCCCATCCTTTTTGATTTTGTTTTCCTCCCCCTGCCTCTATGGGCAGTGCGGCTTCTGGTCCAACAGAGGAACGTGCTCTTTGGGGTGGCTCCTTCCACTGCAGGGCTTAGTGAGTGACTTTGTGCTGTGCAAGCAAAGAAAACCTTAGGCCTGCAGGCTTTTGCCCAAGCCTTTAGATCTGTGCTTCTGACTTACATCCCAGTTCTGTCCTTATTAGGACTCTGAGAGCAAGTAGGAGGTTGTCAGGAGGCACCTGTAACTTTTCGGCAGCCATGAGATTAGTCTCTTATTGGAGAAGGCAGATAAGAAGTCAAACATCTATTTTTTTTTCCTATTGGATACTTCCAGAGGCACTGACAAGATTGGGAAATTCTGTTTTAATAGGTTTCCGTTTTCAGAAGACATTTGTAAAATTT